TCCTTTGCTGGTCTTATGAGTTCTACAAATGTGGAACAATAACTTGCCTTTTCTTTCTGAAGCACCTCAGAGGCAGCATCATCTGGAACCAAAGGCCAAACTGCTGGCTTGGGCCAAGGCAGCATGCTCAATAAAGCACTGCTCAAAAAGAAAGGCAATGAAACAATGAGATAGTCAAACATCAGCCTTGACCACGTGACTAGCCTTCTTTAAATATGGTAGCAAGTAACCAAATTCATTGGAAGTCAAAAGTGGACTTGATCTCTAACAATTGGATGTATACCTGTTAACAGGACTCCTTTCTATCTCTTTTCCATATCCAATTAGATATGCAAGCCTCAAGAACTGCCACAATAATCAATATGTTTCAGTGGACGTTCAACAATATGACAAATGAAATTCAATTTAAAATGAGAAATAAAAAATTACCTTAACCCTACATAATGAGTAAAGATCACCTTGAAGGCGATAGAATTCCCTTTCTATTTCAGGGGACGCATTTCCTTCACTATATTGAGAATTGGTTGCATTGACTACAGCCACGCATTCAGTGATTACCCAAACTTCTCGCATACAGAAGGGTAAAATACTCTACAATAATCCCAAGAGAAGAGGATTCAGATTTTTTTAAAAAAAAGGAGAATAAAACAGTTAAGAAAATGTTGCAGACAAAAGCAAACGTCATCATGTACCTCGTGTAATCCCAGGGCTTTTGAGAAACTAATTATAAATGAATAACCCCTTGAAGAAACCTCAAAAGGACGATTCAGCTTGAATAAGAGCTGCAATTTAATCAGTGGGGCATGGTTTAGGCAAAAACACAGACATGCCAACTGCTTTATGAAACAAATAAAAAAATGACAAGAAAGCACCACCTACAGAACATTTCAAGAAGGCTAATTAACCATACAATTCCAAATAACCCCTTTGAGAATGGTATTTTGATAAAGTTCTAAAAATTGCAATAGACAACAAATTCATTCTAGTAGAAATTAGTCTCAAAGTCAGACTATGATGTAAGGTAAGTCATGAAGAGTTAGCAGTACCGACCTTTGATTGGCATGCAAAGAGATACTGTCTGAATTCAAATTCACGGAACGAGTCATCTTGAACAATCTGTGTCAATGGTTTGTTTCCAGGAATAAGCAGTGCTGCCTGGTCATCACCATGGTCTAGTCCTCCGAACTCTCTATGTTTGCCACCAATATTAACTGCACTTATATATCAAATAAGATCAAGAATACCCAAAAGAAACTACCAAAATTCAAAATAAAAGAGGAGCATTTCAAGACAAATCCTTAATAATTACCAATCAAAATTTGCCAGTACAACAAATGCCCTCGGATATCCTATCTACCCAATGAACTGGAAAATAAATAGCTGAGGTATGCAGACATATCGCATTAACAATCTGCCACCACTAATATTTTGGGGCTGCTGAATTTCTAAGTATGAAAATTGTAGGTAAAAGTTAAACACTACAAGAGAATGGAGTTTGACTATAAGTACCACTCATATTCACATTACAATAGGGAATTCTTATTTATACAAAATCATAATGCAATTTGGAAACATAAATAAATTTTTTTAAAATGATGTGGAGCGGAAAAATGAAAATTAGATAAAGCTGACACTTAAGACACTGACATATATATTTCACACCTGTTTCCAAGTAGCACAATTCTAGTTCATCATATTCACGCAAGGCATCCTCATGAAGATGAGCCATCTCAAACATAAACGCCAAGCTTTCCTAAGTAAATGAAAAATGAAGAATCAGTAGTCAGAGAAAATAAACTTAAAATGTATATTTTTTGTAGCTTAATACGATTGTATCCCTCAAAGGTAAAAATAGACTTTTAACTTAGGCCTCTTGGGTAAGTTCATGTTTCTTTCACAATCTTCAGACATAAAAAACTAGAAAATGGAAAATCGTAATGTTTTTCCCTGGATCAATGTTGGTCATACCCTATTCTTTAACTTTGAAAAGAGGACCAAACCTTCAAAATGAAAAAATTACAGAAGTTCCAAATTGGCATGAAACGCTGTTCACTAAGCTTGCGTATTTCATCCTCATAGAATTGTACGCGTGTATCCAAAGTATTTCTAACACACTCCATAATCCTGGCCTCTAAGTCTTCCCAAAAATTTGCTTCAGGACCATGTACATCAAACTTGCAGCACCTAAGAATAGTTCGAGTATCAGAAAATGAAAAGAAAAAATCAAACACCAGTTTCAATGAGGGTGCTACTTTGTCAAACTTTCACCACAGTTTTCTTTTCCAAAGGTTTGTAACATGGGTGAAACATCACCCAGTATCGAGTTCTTTGTTAAATGCAAAATAATAATAATGCTTAACATACCAAAGAAACAAATCTTTAGGGCAGGATTTAAAACCAACAACACTAAGAGGAGGGGGAAATCATAGCAAATTTGGGATATACTCTCTAGCCATACTTTAGAATTAAAACCAACACTTGAGTGCTACCTATACAGCACTATTTCAATGCTAAAGTCATTAGCGGCAGAATAAATACTACTATACTAGTCATGCCATCAATTAGAATATATAAAAGCTGCAACCTTACCTTTCCCTCTTCTTGGAGCTAAACTCAACTTCAAGTTTGGCATATACTTTCTTTGCCATTTTATAGGCCTGATCATTGCTTGGATGGGCTCTAGACACAAATACAATAAACCATTCACGCTCATCATTTTGGACAATTAATTTCAGGCGTGGGTTAAGAATGGTCTTGAACTCATCAAGATCCTGGTAAGAAGAATGCCAATAAAACAATAAGCAAATATATAAAATGGACAATGAACAAGGGAAAAAAGATTCGCCTAAAACTAATAAAAGAAAGAAAAAAGAACTAGAAGCTGCCAAGAAAAATCTGAGTATATCATCATGGAAACAAAAGTTTGCCCACACAACTAAGTGTTACTTATACTGGCTCGGGTGAAGAGTTATGATCCATGTTATAAAGGAAGTCAAAGAACTATCTTTTTTCTCTCAAAGTGTGGTCGTGAATCTAAAAATCCGTTAGTCTTTAATAAAAGGCCATAACCTATATTGAATGTACCTCACATGTAACAAGAACCAGAGTTGCATATGGCTCTCGGAACCAAAATAAATATTGCTCCTGAGGAAATCTGCTACGTAGTCTTGCATCAGTGGTTAATATGAATTCAGCCGGCAAATTCTCTACAAACACTGGATTCCGGGTCTTGTTAATTAAGGAAGCTCTTTTGAACGGTAGCCGCTCTTCAAAACTATTCTTGATTGTAGGCCACAAATCACTGACATCTTCAACTGCAATGCAGTTGACGCGAACAAGTTAGATAGAAATCTGTAGCTAGGAGAAGATCATAACAAGATTTGTGCCAGCTAATTCGAACACATGGTTCACAAATTACTATAAATGCAAACAACTAGAAAAGCAGCAAACTTTGGAGTTGATAGATCAGATATCCATGAATCATTGGCATTCCATACTTCTAACCGATCCACAAGGCAAAAGATCAGTAAAAAAGTTAAAGCAATAAAATTTATCAGACGATCACTGACATTGATAAAAACAAACAAAACTAGTAGCTGCATCAATTAAATCACCGTAATTCTAACAAATCCCCAGAAATTATAATCAAGTACTGACTTCATAAAATCAACTAAGGAATCTCAAAACACCACCAAGTATCATCAACCTTTAGAATTTCCTTATCAGAAATCAAGTTGTAAAGTAACGGCATTCCTGATCTCACCCACCCAACAACATAAAAATTCCAAAAACACTCAAACCCAAAGTTAAATTTGAAGAGTTCAATTCAAGTTAAAAGAAAAAAAGGGACTTACCAGCAATGACGAGATGGCCACACGTGCTCTTGATTGTTTGAAACTGAGCTAAATAGTTCGCCATTCTCTTTCTTCCTTTCCGATCTATATGAAACTTACGAAATCCATAGACCAAATGCTTAACTGTGTAGAGAAAAGATCAAATTTGTGCTTGAGTTTGAGATTTGGAGTGTTGGTTTCGGTTATGCTTAAACTCTTCTCTTTCTCTCTGACGATGGATTCTCATTCTAGTTCCCCAAGGATCTAGTGTTTCCGCTTCGTGCTCCTCGTCAAGCTCTGCTTTCTCCAAGTGTCAGATGGGCCTGATTAATGTCGTCGTCCATGTTTCAAACAGTTTAACTTAGGCCCAATTAAATAGGCTTGAAAAATAAAGACTTTATTTTTAGCCCAAATTACCTCTCTCTCTAATAGCCTGCAAATTCTGTGCTTTACTCTCTTCAAACTCCATCCGAAGTTACTTTGGTCTAACTTCGAATATATTAGATTTATTAATTCGTTAGTACTTTGTAATGGTTGACTACAATTATATTTATTAGGTTGTTGTATTCTTTGTATTTGCGATTATAATTGTACTTATACTTGTAATTTCTTTAAAATTAAATTTCGAACGTGGTTATTTTGACTCGTTAAAGTTTAATATAAATATTTTTTTAAATATGGATATTATACTTAACATATATAAAAATAAAAAAAGAGTCCAAATAACATAATTTTCAATTCCCAGAAAAAACATAAAATGGTTGTCCTTTTTCCCATATGTAATGGGGTAAGGGGAGGTAAGATAGTAGGCTGTCCCAACACTAAATTAAGAGCAGCTTCCATAGGAGACCTCCAAATTATTGTTGTATATTGTTGCATAAGTAAATACTAAAAGACCATCTTCCCTTACTGCATTTTGCTGTAGGCTTCTTTGGAAGAAGTTTCATACCCTGCAATTGCTAAGGGTTCCACAAAGAAATCCTTACAGAACCATTAAGATAATGTGAATAAAGCTCGGTTTCGCGACCAATTTTCCGACAGACAACACTTCAAAGATATATCAAAGGAGTCTAAAATATCTGATTTAACTGTTTATGTTTTATGAGCAGATTTTAAGATAGCTAAAGCAATCCAAAATACCAGAAAAAGGAAATTGCTGAAATTCCATTGTAAAATCTGGGGAAAGCAATCAAAGTTAATCCATTCCAATCAAATCATTTACACAATACTCTCAATATGCTTCAATTGATCATATATTCCCTACTGTCAAAACTTCTAAAAGAATTGCAGAACCTTAAGCCATAGACATGTTAGAAAGCCTGCTCGGTGTTGGCTTGAAGTTCCACCACCTAAGAGTCATCTTCCGATTTGGTGGTGCCAATGCCCTCCTCAATATCTCCTTGTTACCACCATATCTCCTCATGTTCTGTTTTGGCACCATGTAACCATGCCTGCTACAAGGTACCGAACCCAGACGGCCCGAACACGTACACCTCGGACGACGTCCCGAAGATGATGACGATGACGCTATGTAACTTCTCCTACCACCCCGATTCTCCTCCGCCGCTTCTCCGGCCGGTGGCGGAATTTTCAAACCTCGTGTAGGTCGTCTCTCAAGGATGGTCAGCTGCATATTGATGAGCAGGTGATCTTTGAGTATATTAATTGGTAAAGCTGAATTGGTCATTCATACCTTTGTTCATATTAATTTGCTAAGCTTATATAGATGCCGGTTTTATTTTTATTTGGTGGTTTCTTGGCAGGCTGTTTCTTTGATTCTTATAACTGGACTTCGGAAACTTTGACCATTTGATGGAGATAACTGTTAATGTTTTGACTTCATGGTCTAATTCTGAATTTAATCCCTCTACTTTATAGAAACCGAGAACTTAGTCCCTCTCCTTCAATTTATCAAAATTTAAAGTGTTGAATTTCGCTAATTAATTAAACATAAAGTGTTAACCATGTATATAAATTGTTGAATTCAGGTTAGTTATTCAACATTAACTTCTTAGTTTCATAAAGTATAAGGACCAAAATTTGAAAAATCAAACTAGAGGGATTAACTTTTCAAAATTTCACAAAGTAGGGATGAAATTCATAATTAAACCAACTTTCACTTTTTTCCTTAGCTTTTGGCTGGCACTCGGTTTGATTATTGGCTTTAATTAGAAGGAATTGTGCATGTGATTTATGAGTTATAAATGCTTATATTGGTAGTGAAAGTATGAAGGGACCCCTTTCACTAATCCAACTCCACTAATGAATTATGGCTCCCACATCAAAAGCTAAATTCATTAAAATTCCATGTCTTGAAATCAATTATATTAAATTTCATGGGCCACTACTTAATAATTTTTCATTATTAAGATTCTTGATGGTAATTTTTCCAAATTTGTTGTAACATATTGTTTTGAAAGCCAAAAATATAATTATATAGGGCTTTTCTTAATCAAAAAGCATTGGACCTTAGGCCAACTCTTAAAATAAAAATCAAAACTAATAATTCAATGGAGAGTGCTTTTGAGTTGTCTCATTTTCTCATCAATTGAGGCAGGCACCTAAGACCCATCCCTCATCTTGGTCCTTAAGCTGTCTGCCCTTTTTTATATATATAATTTGTATAATTTTTTTTTACAATTTTATAAGATTTAATCGGATCACTGTCCCTACAAATTCGATTTTGTAAATAAAATTATGGGATTATTGTATTTTTTAAAATTTATTTTTTATATTATATATGTGGTGATTAATGGGAAGATGATTTGCTGGGTATTGGCCACAAATTCATCCAAGCCACACAAAGCAAAAACTCACTGCCAATCCAGCCTTGTTGCAGCTGTGCATGTGCAAATCCCTTTGTTGAATATCTTCCCTTTTGTCACATTTGACTGCAAATTGTTGCTTTTTTTTTTTATTAACAACTTTCTAATTGTACCTTAATTATATTTAAAGTAATCTTAAATGGAAATACAATTTATTCAAAATTCTGATATTATTTTATCTAATCAGAAGATTCAAAACTGTCAATTTGCATTAAAAAAAACGTTATTATTTTACAACAACTTAAATAATAGTTTTTATTTTTTATTTTTTACTCTACTTAAATAATAGAAGATCATTTTACAACAACTTAAATTCACAATATGTTGTTTAAAAAGAAAGACGAAACCATGATTTCTGTTAAGAGGCCAAGGTGAATTTATATATATTTAAAGGAGTTAAAGTGCAATTGTTTAGTGGACTAAATTACAAGTGCATGACATCTTAAGGACTACAATGAATTATTTTTTTTATTTCAGGGACAAGACCACTGCTTGCTCCCTGGCTCTAACTCTATTGATGTTTAAAAACAAATACAACTGATATTGTTATAATTGCAACACATAAGAAAATTTGAGTTTGAACGTACCTAATGTCTAATATCATATGTGTTTTGTGAAGATATGATATTATTCCAACTAGGATCCGACTTTGTCAACATTATGCCACCCTCAATTACACAGCCTATATGATCCTTTTCTTATTTGGGAAAAGTACAGCCCTATTCATTGAAATTTTCTCTTTTGCTTTGCAAGTTGTGCAACTACATCTTGATTATGACAACCGATTTAACTGTAAAGTTTATTGATTATTTTTTTTATAATTATTTTGCAAATTAGGTCGACGAAAAATTGGAAATAAAATAAAATGGGCCATGAACAGCCTGGAGTTTAGATCATTACTTCAGATTCTCCGTGGTCCAGGGCTGCTCTTCTGTTGCCAGAATCAAATGTCAATTTCTGAACACATCATCAAAGGTTAACTAAAACATTAACATTAATGTGAAAAGAATATACAGATGGATTAATAGATTCACTGTCAATCTCTTATCAAGTCACCTTCACCTCTACATATTCATTTTTATCGCATATGTATACGTTAAACATAGGCGTATATCGCAAGTATTCGCATGTACATTGCATCTCTGTATATGTATTCATATATCACTGTATACATTTAAAATTCATCATACACGCACGATTTATACTGATAATATATATATATATATATATATATATATATATATATATATATATATATATATATATATATATACAACAAAGGAATAAAATAAGAAAAATTACTTAATAACCGTGTAAAAATTAAGCTCTATAAATATGTCTATTCAAATAGCGGTTGTTTAGTCGGAACTTGAACAACCGAAGATCGAGAGATTTTCATCTTTTTAATAATATAGAGTTATTATAAGATAATATTTATTTATAACTTTCATAATTTATTAACAACGCACATATATCTTACAAACACAACTACACAAACTCAGAATTTTAAAGATGAAACCATGTTACGAATTCGAAGAGATTCTCGTTAGAACAGTACTATAGGCAATTTCGTTATACACTATAATTGAAAACTCAAGCTTACTAGTAGCAAGGGTACTTCGGACAAAATACTACCACCGTTCATATTTGATGGAAGTAAAATTGAAGTCAAACCCGTCATTTGCATCAAGAAGTATTTAGAATTCCAAAGAATTATTGAAATCGAGAATTCGACGGCGAATTGGGTCGGAATCCTCGGTGCCAATGTGAAATGATTATTGGTCATCGAGCAAAACGTAAACTATAATAATAATATCTAACCAAGTTAAATGAATGGAAATAATTAAATTAATATTTTATTTCAATTTCAAAATATGTATTTTTTTAGACACAAGCGAAATATCGGGAGTTAAATTCAAGAATGATAATCCCAACCCTTTTGTTGTTTAAAGTCCAAGTACACTCCTAAATCTTTTTGTTCTAAGGTGGCTTCAGCAGGAAAAATGGAAGATTCAATTTGGAAAGTGGTTTGGTGTAAATTCGTCCCTCCAAAAGTTTCTGGTTTTGTGTGGAAGGCAGTGCATCAAAGGCTGTCGGTTTCTACAGAGCTGGTAAAGCGAGGAGTTTTTAGTTATGATAGTTCTCTTTGTTCTTTCTGCAATCGAGTTCCCGAAACAGTTAATCATGTCCTGGTTCAATGTCAGTGTGTCTGGAAGGTTTGGCAAAGCTGGTGCTCGGTGTGGCAAATTAATATTGTGTTTCCCTACAATGTTAAGGATTTGCTGCAGATGTGGGTTTCACAGAATATTAAAAAGAAATTACGTGATCTTTGGAAACTTGGTTTTTTCGAATTGATTTGAAATATATGACTGTGCAGAAACAAAATAAGGTTTCAGGGAAGCTCTTTTTTGGTTGATCAGATGTTTATTTTAGCTTTGGTTCAGATCGGTGTTTGGGCTAAGTCCATCTGGCCTTCTTTGATTCAGAGCGTGCAAGACTTTGTCCGCTGTCCCGATTCCATTGTGATTTGATGCTGCTGGTTTTGTTGTGTGTTATTGTAATGGTTGTGTTTGTGTTTGTTTGTCTGATCGTGTTGGCCTATTTTATTTTCTGATTGTTGGAGACGGTTATTAGTGCAGTTTCTATCTTTCTGTTCCTTGATTTGGAAGTCGTTTTCAAGATGATGTGTTGACGGCTCCTCATGCAGAGTGTTGTTATTGCTTTGGATTGCTCTGGTGCGTTGCTCGGTCTGCCGAGAGCCTTCCAGGCTGTGGTTGCAAATCTCCTGCATGGCGTTAGCTGGTTTCTAACAGCATTTGTTTCCCATATGCGTTGTGTTAAGTTCCTTTTTCGTTCATCCATATTTCTTGCTTTTTTAGTTTTCTTGCTTGTTGTTTCGTTCTTTGGAGCAGTGGTTTTGTGTCCAGTTCCCTTGTTAGAACATTGTTGATTTGCTTTATGGTTTGAAGGCTCTAGCAGGGATTGTCAATGTAAGGTTGTGTGTACTTTTTAGTATCTCATTCAAGGGGTAGTTGTTTTATTCATGTATAGATAGTTTGGGGTTGTTTAAGTATCGTAGTCTCCGGCTTGTTGTTTGAGATAAATGATTCTTCTCTGTGTATTTTAGTCCACCCTAAAGTTCACTCTTTTTCCCCATTTAGGCTTAGGGTTTTTTTAATGAGGTATTTAGGGTGGTGTACTTTGTTAATTCTAATATGAAGTACCCTTTTTACAAAAAAAAAAAATTGGCTTTGGCAGCCGGTAGGTGGTTCAAAGTTGGCTGCAAATTTTATTGAAAAATAGAATGGGAAAATTGTTCATTTAGTCCTTATACTTTAGGATATTTACAATATTAATCCTTAAGCTTCAACTATAAATACTCTAACCCATTTAGCTTCAAAATCATCCTAAATCATTCTACTTTTCTCTCAATACTAGAGAATTTAGAGAGTTTTCTTGAGAGTTGTTTTCTCCTTTTTATCAAGAGAGAATTGTTATTGTTTTCTCCTTGATAGATTGAGAGAAGTTGTAATTCATATTTTATCATAGTAAAATTCTTCTACCTTTGCCCATGGTTTTACCCTATATTATTTAAGGGTTTTTCACGTAAAATTTGTGTCTTCTTTATCTTCATTTTTATTTTCTCAAGTTATCAGTTACGATTTTGCTCTATCCGATAGTTGTATTCTGCAACAATTGGTATCAATAGCCATATTAGAGTGTGTAATATCTACTTATTGTCTTTGTGGTTGCCACCAAAAGGTGGATCCTCCAACATAAAAAAGTAAGAAGGTATTACTCATTCTCTAAAGGTTCTAGAGAACTATTCACGATAATGAAATAATGGGAACTATCCATAATAGAATCTATGGCAACGAAATTTGATATTAAAAAGTTTAATGGGA